TATTCTGTTCCAGTTGCGGCGTTTTGGAATAGCGCTGCTATGGCGCTGTGGTGCTGTGGTGTTGTGGTGCTATGGGACTATGGTAATTGCGCACCCAATGATGAGTGTGTACAGCTACATAGCATCAAAGCAGACAATTTAAGTTTTGTTTGCGTATGTCAGCACTTTTAACCCATTTTCGGGCTATACTCCAAACTGCAGTTACCAAACAATCTCGAGAGAACTACTTTTGGCATTTTGGTTGAATAATATTTGAGATCATAATGGATTTTTGGCAATTTAAATAATATTGCAGTTTTATGCAAACAACTCCACTTAAGGAAAAACTACTAACTACTAACTACTAACTGCTGAAAAATATTACGAGCTGCAAAAAGCAGCAAATATACTCGTATAAATTTAAAGTGAACGTACGCCATTGTCGGTGCCTAAAGCGGTGGAGTAGTGTGGGTGCTGTAGTGTCTATAAAGTGAAGGCAAAGTAGTTGATCATTGGATTTTACATAGTGGAAATGAGGTTATTAGAACTTTTAAATTTCAATACTTTTAACACAACTGCAAATAAAATAAGCTTACGGTTTCGTGTAAATTCTGCCATCACCAAATATGTGTACTTTACAGTCAAGAGTGCCGATTTTTATTCCACCATAAGTAATTATACTTTCAAATAATAGAATTTGTTGAAATTAGTTTACTTTGAAATTAATAATTGAAATAGCTTTTTAATAGGCCCGAAATATATTCCAACAATTCAGAGCCTTTGTACTTTACGCTGCTGCTCATATTCGTAGAATTCATGAGTTGGAAAGTGAATCTGTGCTCTGTTTCTCCACAGTTTCATATGAGATTCTGGCCCACTTTGGTTATTAGATTATGATGTTTTAACAGCATTTTCCTTTCTGCACTCGTGCCTTTTACTTTGCTAAAATGGTTTTACTTGAATCAATATTTGCGTAATTTCATTTCGTTTCAATTGAATTCAATTTAGCTGCTGCTGTGCCCTTCGCTGATTCAATTCCATTCCCTACATTAAGGAGCTAGGGAAGCTACAGCGCAAAAACTTCCTACATTCTACTCAATTCAATTTTGACATTTGCACAGATTTTATTTTCTATCAAGAGATTTTTCTATTGCTTAGTAAAAGTGAAATAAAAAATTAGCTTAGTTTAAGTAATATAAGGTAAATGGCAACTAGTCAAATTAAGTCAGTTTTACCTGATGTTATTATTAAAATGATAATTCCAAAAAACATCTAAACTTTTTATAATTAAAAAATTTAAATACTACATTTATGACCTACAAGATATACCTTTAAGAAGGTATGTTATGCAGACAGTCAAATCATTTTTATGCTCTTCCTGATCACAGATTTGAAGGAATGTTATGCAGACAGTCAAACCAATTTATACTTTTCCAGGCCATGGCATGTTCTGCATACAGTCAAATCAATTGTATACTCTTCCAGGTCATGGTCTTGAAGGCATGTTATGTATAGACAGCCAAATCACCGAACCCATGTAGACATAGGTTCGGTACACTACAGCCGATTTTAGGCTCCTAAGTACGCCATTCCTATCGACCAGACAACATTCTCTAAGTCTACAAGAAAATTTTCAGATGCATTTAAAAATATCGTCAGAGAAAAAAAATATCTGAGACGGATGTGTGAAAAATATAGATCACTCACGATTAAATGCAACTTTTTGGTCTCTAAAAAACGGCTGAAAAATGCATTGCTCACAGAAATGGAAAATATTCTGAACACTTGCGTACAAAAGTTAACACCTACAGAAACCACAAACTGTTCCTTGTCTGTAAGCCGATGGAAAATAAGATAGCAATGAAGTAAATAAAGCAAATATGTTCGCATACCATTTAAGCCAGGTATTCCAGCCAAATCCCCAGACTAATAACATTTAAGCATTTGAAGAAAAAAAATTCTGCTTTACTACCTTTCTTGATATAGACTAAACCTTTGACCGGTTTTGGAATACTGGTCTTATTTATAGCATTCAAGAGCATACTTCCAACTGCACTCAGAAAATACAGAGTCATATCTACAGAACAGGAAATTTTATGTAAAATTTGAAAGATATACAACAGCTAATGTCAACATAAAGGTTGAAATTCTTCAAGGCAGTATTCTTGGTCCAATACTTAACATTCTGTTTACTGCGGATATATTATACAACTCTCGTCTTGTCACTTTCACATTTGTTGATGACATTTGTATCCTTAGTTCTCATCAAAATAGATTCACAACATCTAGAGACAATTGAATACCTCGAACTGATTGATGTATTCGCATAAACGAAAGTAAAAGCACGCATGTAACGTTTACCCTACGTAAGGACACATGTCCCCCAGTTATCTTTAACGGCATCACAATTCCACAATCAAACAACGTATCGTAACTGGGTGATCATATGGATAGGAAATTTACTTGGTACAAACATCTTGAGGCTAAACTAGCTTAAATAAAGCTCAATGCACAAAAAGTTCACTAGTTATTGAACAAAAACTTCAAGTTACGGCTAAACCACAAAGTGTTGCTCTATAATAGTTTACTTTAGTCAATTTAAAAATATGGCGCTCAATTATGCGGCAATACGTGTTCTTCCAATATCAAGTTAATTCAGCTTACTCAATTCAAACTCTTTCGCTTTATTACTAGTGTTCTGTGGTATATAGGTTAGGTTAGGTTATACCAGCGATCCCTGGAGTTACCAGGAAAGAACTCGGAGTTTAATATCATCTAGAACCTTTGGCGAAGCCTAAAATGCTGTTTAATGTCATGTATTCCATTTGATCAAGATCCTCAAAAAAAGGGGCTCCCAAAGTGTTGAGTCACTGCCGTGTATGAGCTGGACATATAAGAAGTGGTATATAAGAAGTAATAAAATTAATGAAGATCTGAAAATATCACTCATCAAATTTGAACTTTGGGGTTCGTGTTCTCAATGAACAGGGTATGGTCATGCGCAAAACATCAGCCTATGCCTTACCAAGACCATGGTGCGTGGTACTTTATCACACCCTTCTCGAGGTGAACCTGTTTGTAGTTGATAATTTCATTGACTCAACAGAACACTATGGATCTAGAGAGGAAAACTCGATAAAACCCGTAATCTCCGGTGTTATTCGACCCGTGCCGATGAGATGAATGGCACTACGTTAGTGTGTCTCTAAACGGAGACCTCCGGATATCTGGCGCCCTCCGGTTGTAACTTAGCCTTGTCCGGGTATAGCGGATCTCTGCCCGGATCGACTCTCCTTTCTCCGCAACTCGTGGGTTTAAAATATGAACCAAAACAATAAAAATTTACAAAAATCAAGCTCGGTTAAACCAAGCTCTTCTGGAACGGCTAGTTCCAAGGTACCTACCGCAACTTCTAGCGGTAATAACAGGGTACCTCCTAATAAAACAGGAATCTCCACGCGTTCTGGCCCTTCTGCATGGTCGGGCTCTCCATCCAGGAGAATTTATAAAGAACGGCGAGCGGCGACTAGGCTGCTCGAGAGATATGGTAATGTCTCGGTTACGTCCGAGTCTCTTAAGGCTAGATTAGCCTGGGCCAAACGGGTCCTTGATACTTCTAAGGAAGTCAAAAAGGAACCTGTACCGAAGCGCCAGCGCTCATTAGATGAGTCAGCTTCGAAGCCAGATGCCAAAAAGGCAAAATTTCGTGGCAACGCCACCACTACTAAGTCCTTTAGCGACACGCTGAAGGGCTCCATCATAATGGCGGTCATTGATGAAAATGATCCAGATGGCACTATTAATCCTGAAAAATGGGATCAAATTGAGCGAAAGCTCCTTGACTTGTACGTCGAAGTTCTTAAGGAATTTCCAGGTACAATTCCCAAATGTCGCGACGGTGGATGGTTTCAGGGCCATGTGAAACTAGTCGCCTGCGTGGATCAGCGTTCTGTTGATCTCTTTCGCATTGCCATCTCCAGAATGGGTGAGGTCTGGCCAGGCGCAAAGCTTAAAGTCGTTGCCAAGGAACAAATTCCTGGCCGACCTAGGGCGCGTTCCTGGATTCCAGCCGAACCATCCGACCCTCAGCGGATTCTGGAGCTAATTCGGGTGGGAAACCCTGATCTAAATACGTCCACGTGGAAGGTCACCAAGCTGGAGGAAGCCAAAGGCAAGTTTAGGTCGGTCAGTTTTGTGATCGACAAAGCCTCTCTGGCCATTTTGGCGCGATCTGGTGGCGTTTTAAATTACGGTTTTTTCCCCATAACTATGAGGGTCTACAAAAAAGATGAGGAGCAATCCTCGTCTGATGTACGGGAATCAGCGGCAATTTCTCAACACACTGCTGATCCCTTGTCGAAAGTGGGCAACATTAAGCCTGCTTCAATGACCGAAGTGGGTCCGGTTATTCCATCTGAAGACTCACCTGTGTGCATGGACATTTCAATGTCTGCTCCTTCGCCAGCTCACTCAATTACATCAGAGGAGAGCATAGGCATGCGCTATCTTTTCGATGAAGAGGAACTCCTAATGAGTAATGACTCTGAGGAGGATAGTGCTTTTGATGTCACTGTGGTGGAGAAAAATGGATCCACACATACTGAAGATGCGGGTAGAGCAAATTAACCTGCATCATAGCAAGGCTGCATCCGCCAGTCTACTGCAACGCCTCAGCAACAACGAGGCTGATATGGTCCTGATACAAGAACCATGGATTTATAAGGATCTTGTATGCGGAATCAGGGCTAATAACTACAACCTATTTTATGCGGTAAATAAGGGTAAGCCTAGGTCCTGCATAGTGGTTAATAAAAAATTTAATGCTCTCTTACTTTCGCAATATAGTGATGGTGACCAAACCGCAGTAAGTATCGAGGGCTCCTGGGGCCAAATATGGGCAGTATCTGCATATCTGGCACATGACCATGCCATACTACCATCGAATGTCCTGATACAGCTAACAAGCAGCGCCAGGAGACTCGGGGTAGAGCTTCTTATAGGCTGCGATGCCAACGCTCATCATGAGGTTTGGGGCAGCTCAAATACCAATGAAAGAGGTGAGTTACTTTTTGATTTTGTATTTAGTAACAATCTGTTCATCTGCAATGATGGCAATATGCCAACTTTTATTACAAAAAACAGGCAGGAAGTGTTAGATGTCACTCTTGCTACTGCTAGGCTTCACGAATCGGTCAAGAACTGGAAAGTGTCCACTCAACACTCGTTCTCAGACCATATGATTCTAGAATTCACCTTAACCTTAGATGAATCGAACATCTGCAATCAAAAAACGTTCAGAAATGTTAAAAACACAAACTGGACGAATTATAATGCAGCTCTAAGTGAGCTGCTTTTAACCAATTCCTCCGATCCCCCTGGGAACACTTTTGATCTAGACAATCAAGTCCAAGATCTCACCTCAGTGCTCAACGAAGCTTTCAGTTATGCTTGTCCCCCCACACAACCTAGTAGGAAATGTAACCCACCTTGGTGGAATAAGCATCTAGGTCTTTTACGAAAAGAGTGTAGGAGACTCTTCAACAGAGCAAAGCTATATAATAATGAGAGTGATTGGCTGAATTACAAAACCTCTCTGCAGGAATATAAGAAAAATTTACGTAGGTCCAAGAGAGACACTTGGCAATCGTACTGTCAAGAAATAAATAGCAATTCTGAAACCTCTAGACTGCGTAAAATCTTATCCAAAAATCCATCTGTCCCAGAGTTACTCAAAAAATCTGACGGGACATGGTGCAATAATAGTAGCGAATCTTTACAATTACTACTAGATACTCACTTTCCGGGATCTTCTACTTCGGTAGCTGCATCCTCAGAGTGCCTTAATCTCTCACCGGTTAACTCTATTAAGGTTAACCTGCAGATCGTCAAATGGGCTATTTTTAGTTTTAAACCCTACAAATCACCAGGACCGGATGGTATTCATTCAATTGAGCTTCAGAATTCGTGGGAGTTAATACACAACCGGCTTTTGGCAATTTTTAGACATTGTTTCTTATTTAACTATGTCCCGATTAAATGGAGGGAGGTTAGAGTAGTTTTTATACCCAAAGCAGGTAAAACCTCGCACCATAACCCCAATGAACTCCGTCCTATAAGCCTCTCCTCTTTCATGTTGAAGGCTCTTGAAAGAATAATAGACGTAGAAGTAAGGCGTGCTGTAAGCCCCAACCAGTGGTCCCCCTCACAGCATGCCTACACTAAGGGAAAATCTACAGAGACAGCTCTCCACTCCCTCACTTACAGAATAGAAAAATCCATAAAACTCAAAGAATTTTGTATGGTTGCTTTTGTAGATATTGAAGGGGCCTTTAACAATATACTCCCGAGTGCAATAGTAAGCGCGATTTCGCGTCTGGGTGTTGATGATGCGCTCATTGGTTTTATAAATCAGCTGCTAACTGGCAGACTCATTGAAGCAACGATGGGCTCATCAACGGCATGCAGAAGGGTAAATAGAGGTACCCCCCAAGGAGGAGTACTCTCCCCTCTCCTTTGGAACATAGTGGTGAATGAACTGCTAATACAACTGAAGGCGGAGGGATGCGAAACTATTGCATACGCGGATGATATTGCGATAACGGTCACCGGAATATATACTACCACTCTTAGGGATATTCTACAAAATGGTCTTAATATCCTAAACAATTGGACACAAAAATGTGGCCTTGGGGTGAATCCCAATAAAACTGAAATCGTGGTTTTCACAAGAAAACATACGGTCCCGAATCTTTCTCCACCCTCTCTACGAGGTTCTGTGATACATGTGAAGGAGGAAGCCAAATTTTTAGGTATAGTTTTCGACAGGAAACTCACTTGGAAGGAAAACACTCTAGAGCGTGCAAGAAAAGCCAATGTTGCGCTTCTTCTATGTCAGAAAGCTATTGGTAAGAAGTGGGGTCTTCAACCTCGCATCACCCAATGGCTATATATAGCTGTTATTAGGCCCATATTAATGTATGGTATTACGGTATGGTGGACAGCTCTTGATAAATCTTCGTACTGCTCAGTACTTAACAGGATTCAGCGTAGAGCTGAACTCTGTATTAGCGGTGCGCTATGCACCACACCATCCATTGCACTAGATTTGATGCTTCAGTTACTGCCAATGGATATTATTAGTAAACAAATGGCAGCTTCATCTGCTTTAAGACTAAAAGCTACCTCACAATGGAGAGACAGTGACTATGGTCATGCCTCCATTCTAAATCTTTTCAATTTTACTCCTAAAAACGTTGATTACATCACACCCACTCTCAACTTTGACAGGAAATTTGATGTCGTGTTTCCATCTAGAGAGGCATGGACGTCAGGTGGACCCTTCTTAGATGAGGGCGTAACCATTTTCACAGACGGTTCCAAAACAAGTAGTGGTGTAGGTAGTGGAGTTTTCTCAGAGGAATTGAACAAATCTTCCTTCTTTAGGCTTCCAGATCATTGTAGTGTCTTTCAGGCGGAAGTGGTCGCCATCAGGGAAGCTATAGCTTGTTTGAATGTAGATGATATATTTGGCAGGAATATATACATACTATCAGACAGTCAAGCTGCATTAAAGTCCTTGAGTTCGGTCCAATTTACATCTAGGACGGTTCTTGACTGCTACACATCTCTTAACGAAATGTCGACGCAGCTCAATATTTCTCTAATCTGGGTTCCCGGCCATAGGGATATTTTCGGAAATTGCAAAGCAGACGAGTTAGCCAGAAAGGGTGCTTCAGTGCCATACTCGGAGCGCCTAGACTATCTGGGCATATCACTAACATCATGTAAACTGATATTGAGTTCTTTCTGCACAAATACTTTTAATAAAAG